AGCCATGACGGGGAATTGGCTGTACCAACCGCGGCTGCATTCACGGTCGGTGACGGATGATGTTGGCTGAAGCCATAAGAAGGATTCGGTAGGATACCGGGGCTGCCACGGAGAAGACGACAAAACTTTGCACTATGGCCGTGTACCCCACATAGTTGGCATTTGCCTTGGTATCCTCTCGGACCATTGTTGAAAGTCTTTGGCAGCCGAGGATCATATTGTTGTCGGTTGTTCTGACGACCAGATTGTCGTGGCTTGTGAGTCGCGGCATTTGCCGTGATTGGAACCTCCGAGTGTGTGGATTGAGAAGCAAGAACATCCACTTCATGGTTGAGTAACTTCTCATGAAGTTCAATGAAGGATATAGTCGTGTCTTTTGCTTGAATCACATCCTTTACGGCTTTGTATTCATCTCCAAGTCCGGCGAGTGTGAGATCGATGAGATCTTCATGGTCCATGGGTTTTCCAAGAAGGGCAAGCTCATCGGCTTTTACCTTGAAGAAATTCATGTATTCGTCGATAGTCTTGGTTCCCTTAGAAAAACGACGAAGTTGCTCTTTGATTTGTTTCACATGACCGCGGCTTGATCGACCGTAGGTAGTAGCTAACGTGTTCCAGGCATGGGCTGATGTCGAAGACATGGTGATAAGAGCCTGACACGACGTGGAGAGAGAACCAAGGAGAGCGGCAAATATTAGCCGGTCTTGACGGAACCATGCTTCATAAGCAGGGTTGGCAGTCACTGCATTGTTCGCAGTGATGGTTGCTGGAGGAGCAGCATCGGGCTCGAGAAATCCAGCAAGATTGTAGCCTTGTAACAATGCTCGGATTTGGACAGACCAAGGGATATAGGTGGTGGCTGTTAACTTGGAGACATTGGAAACATTGATATTGATCAATGTTTGCGAGGGATTTTCGGTATTGAATGGGGTGACGGTCTCATTGGGGAGGGTGGCTTGGTTGCCATTGTTGGAAGAGCTTCCATCAGTGGCCATTGGCGCTGTTGAAAGAAGAACGAGACGGAAAGAGAATAGATCGGCAGTGGAAGAAGGAGGAAAAAAAAAAAATTAGGGCTGGAAGGGTGATTTAGTCTTTCGACGAACCAGCTCTTGATACCATTTAAGGTTTGAATGAATTTCACATTATAGATATGAGCTTTACAGAGGAATATATACAGC